TTAAAACCATGTAAAGACTTGAAGACTAGTAGGGTACGTAGTGCCGAAGACGAAGACTTTTTTTAGTTCTTCAGCTTACACGGGTCTGGATTTACCAAAAAAAAAAAAAAAAGGGCTTTATACGGGGTCTAGGAACAGTCGTTGGGTTGGGATTGTTAGAAACACTGGGGTCTAGGACCAAGGGAGGATAGATTTCGCCATCAAAACCACGTGAAGACTTAGAAGACTAGGAGTAAAGTAGTATCGAAGACGAAGACTTTTTGTAGTTCTTTAGCTTACACGGGTCTGGGAATAGTGGTTGGGTTGGGATTGTTAGAAACACGGGTCTAGAACTAAGAGAGGATAGATTTCGCCATCAAAACCATGTCATGCCGCATCCCTACATCGTTAACAAGAAAATAAAAAAAGAAAAGTAGTCTTCATATCTAAGGTGGATCAAAAAATTTGTAACCGAAAAGAATTTAAAACCGATAAAATCTCAACCAACAAATTTAATTAGGTTTTGAATTTGTTCGACTAAAAATTAAATCAAAATAAATTTTAAACCATTTGACTTTTAGTTACTAAGTTTAAAATTAAAAAACAAATGGCTAGGGTGAGTATAACAAAAAAAAATTCAAACCAAAAACCTTTATATAAATTTTTTTAATGATTTTTAGATTTTTTAAGGTTATCAAGCTATTTTTTACTAAATTATTTATTTATTTGGATAATATTTAATTTTTTTAGTAATTGAAATTAACAAAATAATAATTCAAAAATTCAAAAAATCACTAAAACATAAAAATAATTGTTTGGTTAAAATTGAAACCAATTCAAATGGTTACTTTAAAAAATGTAACCAAAATTGATAAATCATGTCTTTTACAATTTGGTTAATGGTTATTAAAATTTAAAACTTAAAACTGCAATTAACCAAAAATTCAGTTTCAATTACAACCAAAATTGAACCGTGCCTACCCTCATACCACTATCTCTGTTTTTACTAATTTGTCAATATTTGATGTTATTAAACTAAGCCAAAGACCACAAATGTCAAATAATACAATGGCCAAACTCTCAAATCCACTCCTCAAATAAGAGACTAAGGATAAATTCACCTCATAAAAAAAAAGAAAAAGAAAAAGATAGAGACAAATTCCCTCTTCCAATTATTATTTAAAACAAATAACTCATTATTTAATGTATAACGTCATTACATATTAGAAATCCATTTGTCACCTAAACATATTTCTAATGGAAAGCTTAAATGTGATAACGTTACATGTTAAATAATGAGTAATTTGTCTTAATTAATAATTTAAAAAGGTATTTTGTCAATGCATTTTTTTTGGGTGAATCTATCCCTATCCTCCTCTTTAAAGGATGGAATTGAGGGGTTTGCCAAATACAATTGTAACTACTAGAAAAAAATGGCAAAAAGGGTGTATTAGTCCATGTACTTTTCAAGCTACTTAAAATCTATTCCTTTACATTTTTTGAAAATTTCAACCTAAATGAGGGGCTACGTGGTAAAAATTTATTACCATTGTAATTGCATAAAAAAAAAAAAAGAGTTAATCACCACTGCATAGTGTATAAATACATATAAAAATGAGTAGGTGTAAGATAAAAAAAAGGGAAAATATCCAAAAAAAAAATTGGTTCAATATAAATATAGAGATTTACTTCTTACTTGGATTTTTTGAAAACAATATAACCAATTAAAAAAATAATAACCGCTTATGTACGTACTCCAAATCCGAGATTTTTTTATGAGGAAATGCATTCTCCCTAATATGGTTGCGTATATTGATCTATAACTGGTTATTATCCATAATAACCATTTCCATTTCTTTTGCAACCACTTACTTTTTTACTTTAATTTTTGTGTTTAAAAGTTTATTTTCTAAGGTTAAGCCGGTTAAAAAAAAATGCTGATTTCCTCAAAAATTCATTTGGAAAAAGGGGTAATTAAAATTTAAACACACCCTTGGTGTGGAACTATAGGTCTTCTAAGGAGCGGCTACTTGTGCCCTCATAGTCTGTTTAACACAACAATTTTGATAAGACTTGACTACACCCTTGAGGCTTTGTGAGTCAATTCAGCCTTATTAATGATATTGGTTGTTATAATAAAAGAAAATAGTTCTTTCATGTATGCTGAACAGCAAGGATCAAGTGATCATAAAGTTGGACGTGGACCTACGATATTATTTTTTTGGGACCAAGCGAGGACAGATTTCGTTTCGCCATCAAAACCATGGGAAGATTGAAGAGTGTTGCATGTAATCGTAGTTGTTTATATTTTTTAAATATTTAATC